AATCATCATAACTCAAGAAAGAAGGCCCATCGGTCCTTGTCCTTTTGGTCTTTGTCTAGCTTCATTGAACTTTATTTATCGGTAAAATATCAGTTTAAAAGCTTTGAATCACTTCGGCGGTTCCCTCCTTAGTTAAAATTAGCGTATGATCCTCTATTACATTCTATAAGAATATTGTTTAAAAGAATAAAATCCTGCGAAAAATTGTCCTAGGAGAGTAGGGGAGGCTCAACTAATGTAAATTGATCTGAAGAGACCTGGAGGGGAGTACGGGAATTTTCCTACAGCAATTTTCTTTTTTTTTAAAGAATACTTTTAAGGAAGGAAACAGAGGATCATATGCTGATTTTAACCAAGTAGAATTTATCTTATGTAATACAACTTTTCGAGCAATTTCTAAGCTAACCTGGGTACAGTTCCTATAGGAAAGGGACCATTTTTGGTATATTTTGATAAGTCTTCTAGGACCATTCTTTGAGATGTCACGCTAATTTTTTCGCAGGGTTGTAACCTAGTAAGAGTACTTCTAGTTTCTATATATCAGCTTCCAAGGAGATCCATTTCTTGGGAGATAGCTTTTTCTGAAAACTCCCATAATTGTCAAAAACCCATTTTTCAGAGGACTGTTCTGGTCAAACCCAATAATGCAGACAGCTGAAATTTTTAGGAGCGGTACACCTTTCAGTGCTCTTTCCATAGTGAAACTTTCAAATCAATATATAATTCCAAAAAGGTTTGAATTACGAAAGTTACCAAAAATGTTTCTTTTTTCATATATTGAGTAATTCAGAAAATCCTAACAATCGAATATTTTGAAACAAAATTATTTTGGTAAATAGGAGTCACCGAAATATATGTCTCTGAAACATTTCAGCTCAATTAATTGAGTTGTTCTTGAGATAGGACTCCAATAGGACCCCATGTCTGGATATGGTGAATGTTAGGGCTTTTCGTACAATCCTCATAAAAAAATCAAGTGATTAATATTTTTTAAAACAGTGTGCGTCAAAATTCTTAGAATTCTTCCCTTTAAACATATCTTTAATTGAGAGAAATATGACAACCTCGATTGAACCGCTTCCGTGTGAATCCGCCGTGGACTATGTGGACTGGCTCATAAATAGAAAAATTATGATTTCTATTGATTTCATGTGATTTCGAGTGATTTCGGTGATTTCGTGTGATTTCAAATGATTTCAGGTGATTTCATTTGATTTCGGTGATTTCAACTGATTTCTGTGATTTCATTTGATTTCGGTGATTTCAACTGATTTCTGTGATTTCATTTGATTTCAACTTGATTTCAGAGATTGAAATCAGTTTGTTCCCCCTTGTAAAGTAGTCACCATCAGGTATCTTTAGAGTTTAAAACTACATTATTCGAAGCAAAATAGATCATTTATCAACTCTTATATACAATTAACGGTCGTCGCAAGACTCGCTTGACCATCGACTGGATATTCAGCTGTTTATGCTTAACTAAGTATTTTACAGTCTCAAATAACACTAAGTGACCGTAGTATTTGGTCATAAAATAGATTGGTGTGACTGTGCATACTAAAATGCGATTCAGTATATTTTTAATGAGGAGATACATGATAGTATATTCCGTGTGCCATGAGTTGATCTAGAGACAGAGTTCGTCAAACACCAATATTAAAACTAACTTTCGTCTATTTAAACTAGTCAAATAGTACGCAGTTGCACAAGTACACACAAATTTCAAATCCTAAAATTCATTTTAGTTGATTTAACATTTGTTTCAATCCGGGTTATCTAACGGCGCTAAAAGATCTGACCCATCAATTATACTTTCTCGCCATTCTGTCTGCAGAAAATGAATTCTTATAGTGTGTAGAAAAATCAGCTGTTTGCCACCTTTCGCTACTCTTAGAGTCAGTCTGATGTAGTGGATAAATATCATTCTTACTCAACACTTCTGTCTAAACTCTTACGTCAGTGATAATCGGTGGACCACAGCTGTCGTTAGTCGGCGCTCCTTTGGGGTGCCCCTCACGACTAGCCACTGCCATATTCAGGTCCAACTCGAATTGTGGTCACCTCTTTTCACTCATACCCTAGTTCATTTGCGATATTTACTAATAAAAAGAGCTGTCGGATTTACAAAAATTTAATTTAAATTTAAAATAAATGAACTGTAAATTAATACGTCTAATAATAAACCGATGATTTCACCCTATTCTATTCAAACATCGTTACCAAATCTAAATGAAAATCCTGATAATAAAAGCGATGAATACCCATTACGCACGAACCTATCGGAAACCATCGGTTACCGGTGGTTGTTTTTTATTAAAAATACGGTTAACCACGGTCATTTAAGCTACTTCATGATTTCCTAGCAGAAAACCAACGGTCAACCGAACAAGTAACCAATGCGTTGGCGGCCAATCAGTTATTTACTCGCTTAACTAGGAGCTTAAACACGGTTGGCTGTTGGTTTTTCTGCTGGGAAATCGTAAAAATAGCTTAAATGACCGTGATTAACTATTTTTATAAAAAAAAATAACCACCGGTAACCGATGGTTTTCAAGAGTGAGAGTGTGACTCAACGGAACAACCACACCCTTTTTGCCATAGATACTGCAGATTTCAATCTATCGGACAAAACTGTACCACGAATAGAAATTTTCTTCAATGATAAATGTTACTCTAAGCCAGGCTACTTCGGCATTCTGAATGATACACATGGATTCAATATTGAAAAAAAGCTGAATTGTGTACGAATGTGGGTGTGAGACTTGTATCCATCCTCCTACCCGGCCGGCTCTATCTAGCGAAACTAAGCCACACCTACAAGTGTACCCTGAGTTGAAAAGTAAGTCAAAAATATTTTCATTGGCTCATAACACTCTTAAAATTAGACGAAACAGTGTCTAAAATCAGAGAAATGTGTAATCCAATGCAATATTGTGCCGATATTAACGATACTCGGTAAATGTGATGCAAGTTTGTTTTCTACAATTGCATATACATCATTCAATGGCGATACAATTACAAAAACTTGCATCATCCAATGTTGTAAGGTATTCAGAACGAGAAAAAAAATTATGCAATAAACCAAAACATCCCACAGCTCGGAATCGAACCGAGGTCACCCAATCTCTGCGAACAATTTATCTTTACAGTTGGAGATTCTACCATTGAACTACTGTGGGATGTTTTATCTAACTTTTTCTCGTCAAGTGAGATTGACTTCGAAAGAAGTATCTCTCTAGTATCATCGACAACTAGCATTAGACATGTGGAAGATATATTTTGGAAGTATCTACAGGAATAAATAACCTCAAAGACTTGTTCAACATAGAAACTAGGAATTTAGTGATGAGGTACTGGATAAAAGACAACTGTAGGACAAATTGTTGATTAAAATATCAACATCGTCACCTAGATAGAATTCATAGCTAAATTCAATTTGAGTACTTCACATAGATGCATAAATACAGAATTAATAGATTTGTTTTCATTGGAATATTAGAAAGACTACGAGTAAGTAATACCTTGATGATAGCTCGTGTTTGATATTGTCGATTTTCTTATGAAGACAATAGTTCAACATAACTTTATTTTTATTGCACGTTATTGTGACGATATTGATGGCACGCTTCGATGATTTCTCCTTCTCCTCCTTTCGTTCTCTCTTCATTGTTATAATATATCTCTCTCGTGTCTCTCTTCTATCTCTCTCCTATAAATACGTGTGTTATGTAGAAGGTTGTTACACTCTGGATATGTGAAGAAGTGAATAAACATCATTGCCTATAGTGGCTGTAGCTACTACACCTCTATCCAGTTTGTCCTAACGATGTAAACCAAACAGGGATTCATATTTATCGTTACAGTTATCTACTTATTGCGATGTTTCTTAAGCAACTTTAGAGATAACAACAATACATTGTTTAGGGTTAACTTGCGTTATATTGATTCAGCTCTTCAGATAATTGCACAGAAGGCGATGTTTCTGCTCGTCTCTTATAATGATTTTCTTGTTTAATACATATAAATTTATCGATGGAGTATATTTTCACAAGTGTTTGATACTACGAAGCTAGCGCTTTGCTAATAATGCAGAAATCTATAATTAATAATATTTCATGCAGGAAGCTTTTCCAATGAAACGGAATGGCGGTAATATGTTCATTCGGATAGTTCACACTGATGATAGCTAGAAATAAATATATAGTGCTGGTTACAATTCTGATGTTCTGTAACATAACAGAAAAACAAACTTTTGTTATTCAGTCATTTCCCCTCAAGACTCTGTTTTTTCTGCATCAGTTTCTCATCTTACGAAGCATTTATTCCCAGAAAAAGTCGGGAAATGCGCATTTCCACTTTGAAGTCTTTTAATAGTAAACACTTTTCTTCACGGAAAAAGACTGAGTAGGAAAATGACGACGTCCATGAATTTACATTGTTTTAATTAAAAAGGTGTCTGCCAAGAGAAAACAGACGAAATTTTAATGCTTTAAAAGTTGCATGCCTAGGTTTTGAAAATGTGTATAATTGAAAATTCGATTTCAAACTAATTTGTGTTTAGTTCTGTCATTCAATCTGCCGTGATGGTCATAAATATTCGTACTTTAGATTTTTCTGCTGCCTTTCGAGAGAAAATTTTCTATCACAGGTTGCTGGTATTTTTTCAAAAAGATTTACAGTGAAGTTCTGTACAAAGATATATTTGTCTTGATTTGGAAGAAAAGAAATGAGCATTTTTAAAGATTCCATTGTGACATGGTTGTTTCACAGACACACAGATATCTCAAGTACTTCTCCCTTTCTTCGATAGACTTAGGTATTCAGTTTGGTTGGCTGGAAAAATGTCGAAGGGGAAAATATCGAAATAATATTGATATGAAAAGTAGTCGGCAGATGTTAAAGAGAATTTAGAGAAGAATAGAATATGCTTTATTACGCATGTTAGCGTTAAAAATCTAAAAGCGATCGAATATAGATAATAATAAAAAGATAATCATTCATCATTTTTTTCGCTTAGCAACTGTAAATGATAGACCATCTAAATATTCCATAGCATTCATAGCCCCATCATAATATCGTTTATCAAGAGTATCTATACGACGTTGAATTGCAATTGTTTTAGCTTGTTTAGGCCTAGCTCCCAAACCTGCAGTAAATTGAATGTAGATATGATGAAAATGATTCTCTTTGCCTTGTAGAAATTTAATGAGTGACTAAATATTCGGATGATTAACCTGTACTCGTCGATTAAGGCCCCCCCCCCTCAAAAAAAGTCGATTTTCGTGAAAAATTCCGAAAATGAGATAAATATATGGGGAGATAGCCCATCTTCTGCTCTTTCAGAAATGCTAAAGGGTTTTCTCCAAAAACCCTTTTTTGGCTGAAAATCTCGAGGTTTTCTGTAAGGTTTCCAGCACAAAAGTCGATTTTCGCAAGTCTTTTTCGTTTTTTCTCAGTTTCCACTTTCTCAAAAAGGCATCCCAAATATCTCAACATTGGTTCTATGAAAATTTTTGTTTTTTTGTTGTTGGAAGGAGCGTCTCAAGGCTGAGAGCCCATGGTCGCCCTTTTTTTAATTAAGCCTTTGTTTGGTCCATATACAGTCATTTATATGATTTTGCTACAGTTTTTTGACACTTTTTTGAGTCATTGACCTTCTGATCCATTTTTTGCACTTAAAAAAGGACTATTTCAAAAAAAGGGCGACCATGGGCCCTCCGCATTGAGACGCTCTTTCCAACAACAACAAAAAAAATTTTTCATACAACCAGTGCTGAGATATCTGGGATGCCAAATGAGCCATTTTTGACCCTTTTTTGGTTCATATCTCCCGAAAACTTGAAGATTTCGGGCTGACATTTTTATGGTAGTCTTCTGTTTCTAGCCCCAACATATCCTGAAAGTTTCATCTAATTTGGACGTTCCTAGGCTGAAATAGACTTTTGAGGGGGGGGGGGGCTCAAAACGCCTATGAAATG